TCTAAAGGACGCGTTTTGAAATGACTACTTGATGAAATATTGCAGTAAAACAACGAACAATGATAATCAGGTAATAATTAAGAGTTTCGGGAGACGGGGATCGAACCCACACCATGTTTAAAATGGACGCTTCCGACGTCTTTGACGACTCGGCCACCGCTCTACCTGAGGCAGATGGGGCGAATCTTGTGTAGATAAGTGTAGAGCTGATGCGCAGGCTACACAGCTACTGCGCAACCTCCTCGACCACTGCGCATCCTCCCGCGCATAGCGGTAGCAGTCTCGGAGCATTCTGAAAATTCACTCACTTTTATAACGTGATTGTAAAAAAACCTGGGTCCTATTTCCAAAATCTGAATAGAGCGGGCTCATCTAGGGCCAATTACCCGTCGATTACCGCAAAGAACTTAGAAATCGGCCCGGTAGAACGCTCAAACGAACTATGACAAAAAATATAAATTTACATTGTTTAAATGGGAGAATTCGCAACTTTACCACTTAATATAAAAAAACCTAGGCCATATTTTGAAAATCTGAAAAGAGTTGGCTTATCTAGAGACAATTGCCCGTCGATAGCCGCAAAAATCATAAAAATCGGCCCGGTATAACGCTGGAACTAAGCGTTACCAGTTTCGCAAAATTAGGAGGCTTGAGAGCTTATAGTATAGATGAGAAGTTTAATTCATGTAATCATCGCGATCGGCAGAACACAAACGGCCTTGTGGGCCAGAGGGTTCTCGAAAAACAAGGTTTTCGATTGAGTTCCTCCCGGAAGGCGACGGCGTGGACGTCCTGTGAAAGGTTGGCGACAAAAGGTGGAGAAGGAGATCAGAAGGTGCCAATTGCCTAATGGTCTCTGGGAGGATAGGATTGAGGGTTTTTGCAGGCAAAGACCCCCTACGATGAGCAGGCGATCGCAGAGCGGGAGTAGCTGGTGGAGCGTGCATGAAGCTCGCTCGGACTCATTGATTATGCTCTGTTGCTCTCTCCTCTCCTCTACTCTTTGCTCATAATGGCGCCAAGCACAAATTTCACTCTCGGAGAAAAATTAAACTGCTCAGCTCAGGGAATTGACCTTTTTGATCGAGATTAAATTTCTGAAAGAGTTCAAATCAAGTACTAACCAGGGTAATTCTCAAAATACTTTGACAAGACATTTTTCTGATATAATTTAAGGATTGAGGAGGGAAAATCTCAGCATATCTGGAGAAATCACAAGCTTGTGTGGGGGCCTCGCAGCGTTCTGAGGCATTGAAATCAAATCCTAAACGTATACCTACTTACATTTTGAATTTTGATGGAAAATAAGGGGGGGGAGGGGCTTCATTTATATCTGAGCCACGGACGTATACCTACTTACATTTTGAATTTTGATGGAAAATAAGGGGGGGGAGGGGCTTCATTTATATCTGAGCCACGGGGATGCCAGATGATGAGGGATGAGTTTGAGGATTTTTGCGCACAGCAGAGGTGCACAGAGATGTTTTCAGGAGCATTGGGGGAACTAGTTAGGAGGAGGGGAGGAGAAATATTACCCTCTCCTGACTTCAAGAAATATGGGGGCTTTTGCTAAATTAGCTGTGTTGCCAGACTTTCATTGTGGAATTTATATTTCTACCAAAAATATTTCCATGTGAAGATGAACCATCAAGCTAAAAATTTAACTCCAGCATTCGCACTAATTTATCAATTTTTTTTTGTGGCACAATGGTACAACTTCTGGGAAACATCCTGTTAAAGGTAACGAGGCACTTAGCATATTTCTTGAAAAATTTGCTAAAAAAATATCTTTACACATTTCTGCTTTTGATAACTTAATATACCTACAAAAGTACATAACGATCCAAAAAATGGTGAATTTTACCAGTTAGGCATCAAGGGGTGAAATATGGGAGCATAAATATCGCATTAGGTACCTAAGATGACATATCAGTGAAATCAGTGAATCATTTGAATCAGTGAATTCGACAATACACCAACTCGGAAAAAAAAAATTTCAGGAAACACCTAAAACTTCGCAGCGGGCGAAGAAGTTGGTTTAAGAAAAACCTTTTTGATGCCAAGGGACGCAAGAAGTACTCTAGAGACTTTAAAGCACCAAGTTTCAGATACTAATTTTTCATAGTCTGCCCTGAAAAATGTATATTTTTTGACCTGAATAACGCTTGAATATTTAAGTATATAACTTGTTGACACAAGGTATATACTGAACCGAAAAACGAAAACCGCATAATCGGATAGTCACCCGTTTCCCTTGATCGGCCAAAAATTCATGGTATTTCCAATGAAATTCTTCGATTCTTCCCTTATCCCGTCGCTGTTTCGAGAACTTCTGATTGCAATTTCGAAATATCCTTTTGCGTGCAGATGCTTCTTCTCCATAAGTGTTACTAAACCGTAAAAAAGTGAAAATCGAAAAAAACCCGTGTTGGAGTGTTTCCGAACTCACTGATTCATTGGAAACATGATTATTTGGATGGATAAGGTGGGGAGACGGCAGACGATAGGATGGGTTTAGAGCAGGTATTGGTTAGAGAGTGCTCGAACTGCTCTGAGTTCCCGTCGCGCCACACAGCCATCTTGCCTGCTCATTCGAGGGGGTCTTTGCCTGCCAAAAGTAAACATCGGGAGGATAGGGGGCAATGGCGATAGAGCGTCGCAGAGCGCGAGGCGGCGCTGTGAATGCGACTTAAAGTATGTGTAAAAATAAAGAAAAATAAAAAATCGAATTTTCCTAGATGAGCACTTCTTCGGTTTAGTACCCACATGTCTTTGCGCCACCTGAACTCATTTACGGATTGAAATAGGTTTATTCTTGTTAAATCTGTCTAAATGGCAGATATGCGAGACAAGATCTAGAAAGAAAAGGGGAAAACACTATTTTACCTTTGAAAGGCTAAAAATCTGTCCTTGGAATAGAAAAATGAACGCCAAGCCGTGTCGATGCTCTCGACGTAAAGCCGCGTGGGCTGGCGGTGGTTACAAAAAAGCTGCAAGTGCGCAAAAACAGACGAGCGCATGACGTTCACCTCTCGCAGTTGCTGGGCGCGGGGGAGAAGGGGAATAGGTGAGCCTCTCGAAAATTGCAGGCTTACAAAGCACATAGATCCAGGCTGCCTCCAAAATTGGGTAAGAACCGAAACAATAATGGTTACCCAAGGAGTTGTGTAACCATTATTGTTTCGATTCGGTTCCTATTCGGTTCTTCCCTGATGAAAATTCTAAGATACACGAGTTTAAAGTCACGTATCGAAGTAGATCCATGCAAATTGGTGGACTTGGAAGGTACTTGCACGCAGGGTGGCATGAAACGTAAGAAAGAAATGAAACATGGGAAGTATCGGTGAAATATTTCATGAAATTTGACGAAGCTGGCAAATATTGCGTATTATTTGGGGCTACAGTACCGCACCCAAACACACAAAACACACAAAAATAGGAATAAGTCACAATTATTATTACATTTTGCGGAACATAAAGAGGAACCGGTATTTTTCAATATCTTATTTCTCGAATTTCAAGAAATATTTCACGTGAAAGATCAAGATTTGATTTACGGCACGATCCCCCAGGAGGCCACAAACATCGATTTTGAGCAGTGTCCTTTAGAGAATGGAGACATGAAACGGCCGTTTCATTCATTATTGTCTAGTACTACAGAATTAAAAGTTTCGCTGAGAATAGTGCTTTCCGTTGGGTCTGGTCCTGCTCGCAACCGATTTTGAATTGCGTCCTTTAGAGGATGGAGACATGAAACTTCCGTTACATGAAATATTGTCTAGTACTACAGAGTTAAAAGTTTCGCTGTGAAATGTGCTTTCCGTTGGGCCTGATCCTGCCCGCAAACTTGATTAAACCATGAGTCAATCGAAGCTGTCCTCTGTTGACCTTTTCATTCTATAATTTAGCGGAAGCCGTAAGCCTCAGACCTACACGTACACAGCCGCGCTAAGGAAAGTGAATGAACATTCGTACAACATAAGTGCCCGTATGAACATTCGATTATTGCAAAATTTCCCTCGATAAAAAAGTTATTCCTGAGGGAAGATATGCATATTTTCACTCCAAATAGTCGGATATTTTGGACTGAATTGCCTAAGAATTCGTCAGAAAATACTGAAGAGCAAAAATTTTATCTTTTACAATAGATTCGTAACTTATCAAAGGAATTTTGGCAACGCCTGAAAGTTCATACGCCGTTTTTCCTTCGAACGGCAGTACAGCGTAGACGCCTCACGCGACTCCGCAGTACGGCTCTTTGCACCGGAGAAAAATCGTGTCCTCGTCAGTAGTCAAATCGAAGTTGAAAGAGTAACATATTAAAAGGACGGATTTCTATCAAACGGAACTAAGTGCATTAAAGCATTAGCTCTGAGACCCATAAGAATACAGGCATAACAGGGCTCACGTCATAATACACATAGTTCCGTTTGACAGAAATACGTTCAAAAGTGAATCGGGACGTGCGAAAACCGCTACTGTCCATTTTTCCAGCCTCCAGTTTTTTTGAGTTCATAATCCTTTAAAGAGATGATACAACCATATACTTGATGAAAGAGCTCGTTTTGGGATCAAGGTAACCCGAAGACGAGTGTTAACGCCACTTTCGTGGTTGCGTCCGACTCCGGAAAGTAATATTAACTCCACTGGAGAAAAAAACACATTGGATCTAGAGTCCAGACTTTTGAAAACATTGACGACCAAAAGGACTCTTGGTTCAATCAGATCTAAGCTTAAATCAAAAGGAAATCCGCTCAAATTAAGAGGCTTGGTTCTTGATTTAAGCTTAAATCTGATTGAATCAAGAGTATTTTTCCTTGTGGATGTTTTTAAAAGTCTGGAATCTAGATCCAATGCGTTTTTTTTCCAGTGTCAAAAAACTAAATACTGGAAAAATGGACATCAGCGGTTTTCGCTCGTCCCGATTCAAATAGTCACGGACAAATTTTGTACTAAAAAAACCATGATAATGACATGAAAGTGAGAGATTTGAGGATTACCTGCTATTTTGTGGTCGGGATTGCATTGTAACGGCTCCAAAATGAATCACAGTACATGACGCTCCATAGAGTTACGAACGCAGGATAAACTTCTTCGAACGCAGGAACTAAACGTCGATCAAACTCCCGGGCATCAATAATTTCGAGATTCGTCTTCTTTGCTTCTTGCTTGGCATCGTCTTTGCACTAAAAACTGATTATTTCACCACGCGGTCTGGTTTTCGTAACGTTCAGGTATACCTCCTCAACAATCAATTTCATGCGTGAATTGAGAGGGCAAAATTTTTCTCACTGTCCTTGAAGCGAGGCCAAGTTTAAACAAGTATCACTCGAAAAGAGAAAGTTCGAGTTTTAGGAGAATGAAGAAAGTTTCAAGTCGTTTCACTGCCGTAACCAGAAGTTTATGAGACTTCCTGTCGAATTAGGGGTTAACCAATCCGTAAAGCTGGAAGAAAAAGACTGTTGAGGCTTCGAAATAAGTATATCCGCCGATGATCAAAAGTTTGGACACTCTCAACTAGTCGAAGTAGTTTGGAAAAAGAGTTCATCCGCCTCGACACCATGAGCTTCGGGATGCGTTGGAATTTGCGCATCTCGAAGTTCACGTGGAGACTCACTTAGGTCGTTTTTGCCACACTGAGTTCAATCATACTTAGAGGAGTCTCGTGCGGTTAAGCGGCCAGAATTTCCCTGCTTGGGGTATCTTAGTTGTTCTGATAATGAAAGCTCCTTCGCTTTTTAACACACAGAGATAAAAATCGGACCCTAACCTTGGACACTCTCTAAACCCTAAATCAGTGAATGGATAGCCCTTCACTGTGCGGGATTTCTCGGAAAAAACTGGATCTGACAAGGATTGGTCAAGGAAGAGATTTTAAGTGCAATGACAAGTATGAATCATATTTTCAGAAGTTGGGCATGAAACACGTAATGAAAAGTGCCATGCAATAGGCGAAAAACATTTTAGCCTTTCATTGAATTTTGCCTTTAATGTTTTATGTCGAAAATATGATTGAATTTCTTCAATCGAATTCATATTTCAATCGAATCAATTGAACTCATTCTCTTGAGAAGAAAGGTTTTACATAAAATTACAAGGATTTATTTGTCATAAAAAATTGCAACCCTGATCAAGAAACAACTATTTCTGGCGCATTTGAAGAAGAATGAATGTAATAGCTGGTTTCCCTGCAGGGATAGCTGATTTTATTGCCAGGAATAGAAGTTCCAGCACAGTAATCACGTAAGGTAGGAGTTGACACCGCTTGTTAGCTAAAAATAATTTCACTTTTTACGGGACCCGTAAAATATAATTATTCAAGTAAGAATATCAAATTTCGTAAAGGATGAGTTATTAAAAGGGGAATCATCGACTGAGAAAACGTGGTTTTGGCTGAAAAATCATTTTTCTGACGAGGAAAAAGTTAATCGACCGTTAAAGTCTGATTTTTAAACTTAGAGAGAACTCAACTCAAATCGACTGTCACGCACAGCTCAGCATAAAAAGATTCGAATCCGCTAAAAAATTAGTTATTCGCTCCATTACAGAAACGTGAGTCGACCTTGATATGTTCAGTGCCTCTTACAGACTTTAAAAAAATCCATCTCCTGCTCATTTTTACGTTGCCCAGGAAAAATGCATATCATAGAGCACGAATGGCGGTTTTGCGATGAAAAAGTCATGGATGGAAGACTACACTCCGTTTATTATTTGTCCAGCACGTGACGGCAAAAGCATGTAGAATTGCAAGATTTGATGGCTGAAATGCCTAAAGGGGAGAAAGGTTCTCTACGGTCGAATTCATCAATATGTGACCAGCAGAACTAATTATAAGATCGTTCTTTTCGTGGGTAGCCGGTGTTTCAAACTCACGTTTAAAAAATGTCAACATTTTTCTTAGGTTGCCGAAACTTCCAGCCGCTTTATTGCAACATAATTAGATTCAAGTCCAACTGCAATATCTGTAGCGAGTCTTGCCTCCTATCATCAAGATCCAGACGGCGTCAAGGTTTGTACACTGTTGGCGCCGACTTCCCGCATTATCGCTATATTTTCGCAGCTACGAATCGGGGCGCAGCTGGCTGCTTATTGAAATTGGTGGACAAAGCGACTGACGAAGAAGACATAGGGAGTATGGAGAGATCCTATTGGTTGAAATCGGTGATTCCTATAGACTAAGGGAGAATGATGGATAAACTAACCATAGGGTTGTCGTAGAATGCCGATAATTGATCTGTTACATACGATTTCAGCCATTCCGACCATCTACTTCCACCAATAGGATCCCTCTTTAACTCTTAAATCTTCTTTGTCAATCACCTTCAAAAATCGGCTCATCACACGCCAAAGAGAGTCGCGACATGATTTAAGGCACGTGTTCGGAAAATTTGAACATTTTACACGAAAAGGAGTACGTTTTGAGGACGGGAGATTATCGATCGCGCCTCGACTTTTCAAAAAAGTGTATGCAATTCATGCTGTCGTTGATAATTTTTTAGTTTCTCGATCGCGCCTCGACATTTTAAAGAAATTGTATGCAATTCATGCTGTCGTTGATAATTTGTGAGTTTCCGTTGTTTTGTTCTGTCAAAGAAAGATTGAAAATGAATATGACAAAATGTGGACTGAAAGAAAAAAAGCTCCGCCTGCAGTCAACTAGTAGCCATAGAAAATAATTAGATTTTGTGCCAATTTGGAATTTGCAACTCCTTTTTTTGCCACACTGACAACTTTCACCGAATGTAAAATATTATGTTGTACCTTCACCGAATGTAAAATATGTTGTACCTTCACCGAATGTAAAATATTATGTTGTGCCTTCACACCTAGGGAAGCAACAATAGGATATTATCTAGTTCAAGTAATTTTTTCTTTAGTTATGCTTACGTTTATCTTATTTCATATTTAATTTTTTATATTTTGTTACAGACCTACTTTGACTACTCGCATGCCACCCGCATCCCCCAGGATACGACTACTCGTTCCAGGATTTCATCAGTCGCATCGGCGCACGGCAATTTGCATCCGCCGGTTTCGTCTTTGTTGCCTCGTGATGATGCGAAAAAAAATCTTTCACTGCACGAGTATGCACGGTCTTCACTTTCAACTGGCAAGAAGTCGGTACTTTGATTTGAACGTGCGTTCAAGCTGCTTTCGTTGGGTATTTTAGAATCTCTACAAGACAGCGACCAACACCAAAAATACAAAAAAATCACCTCCCTTGTGCTACAATTATCCACGAATATTTTTAAAAGTCGTTTGTTGTTTTCAAGAGTCTGGACTCTAGATCCAATGTGTTTTTTTCCCCAGTGTTTTATTTTTTAAATGGCGAACTATATTCGATGCCAGTTCTTGAATATCCCCGTGTTTTTTTATTCTCTCTGTGCAAAGAAAACTCTGTTATTCATGGCATGCTGAGTCAATAGCCTTTAATAGTCAAACCTCGTCCAACTTTGAGGAAAGCAGGGCTGAAATGTGCATTTTTCAGCGCGAAAGGTGCTCGAAATCCTAGTGTACTTAAAACAAACTTGTTCTCTGTTCACAGCACAGTTTGACAAGGGCATGGAAAAAGCTATTGCTTACACTAATAATAAGGGCTCCCAATCGGAAAGTGAGCTGAAAGGGAAGGGCCTCAGAAAGATCAAACAAACAGATCGCCTTTCACCCCACAAAAATAGCTCGATAAAAAATTCAATCGGACGGCCGAAATTTCTCAAAGCCTGATTTTACGACCGATTTTTCCTCAAATCCTGATAGAATTCGGGAAATGTGGGAAATCCTGAGTTACCTTTTTGACAAAAATGTATTTATAGCTCAGAAATTTTCAAAGGACAATTCGACAGGAATAAAGATATATTTTTCGGTAGAAAAAATTCATTCTCTGAGAAAAGTTCAAGCAATGATTTTGATTAGTTCTCCTTCAAAAATATAAAATAGGAGCGGAAAAATTTGAACACAGCAAACGAGATACGTGGTCTGGTACTTTCACCGTCGAAATGCTTCCTTTTGTAGAACTGTACAAAAAAAGGAAGAAAAAAATCCCATAATTAGGACGAACATTGGGTGGCTGGCTGGCTAACATATCTCAAAATTGACAAAACTTTCGAACTTGTTTCTTCGTATCCTGTGCTCTTTAATGTGGCAAATCACTATCATTTCCTAGCAATTCCCCAAGTTATACTGCCGAATTTAACTCGAGGTTCGCTGAAGAGAATCCTTTTCGTAACGGTTTATTGTGGGTTTCATTAAACCTTCCTTCATTGCGAGGTAAACCGAAAGGGGGCTCCTCTTTAAAGGATCTGCAGCCTGATTGCTGTATTTATTTTTATCGACCGAATAAGACAAGATTAAGGCAAATCTTGTGTTTGTCGACCGAGTAAGACAAGATTAAGACGAATGCAGCTACATGATTCACGGAAAAAACAAGACTAGTGTTGATCACTACTGGCCGTTTAGTGGGGAGTAGTTGAGGGCTGGCGTCTAAGCGCTGTACAGCTCAACACCGGAAGGCAGTACAGGTGAGCACTGAACATGAGTAGTGCTAATCAGATGCCGCGAGACGTAGTTGCGCTTATCAGGTGTAAATTCACACATGAGACGTCGGAGTCACGATAGCCTGGTGGTAACGCGCTGGTCTTCCACCGGCGCAACCCGAGTTCGATCCCCGGCCGAGGCGTTTCATATTTTACGCTCGCTCCAAAGTCACTTTAGGGCTTGACACTACTTCTTCCTTAGTGACCCAGCCTCGAGCTGTTTAGTGCCCAGCACTCCTCTGACTTGCTGGCTCCATTTGATCTAACCCTCGTTAGTGCCCAGCACTAACATGTAGGTCCCAACCCTAAGCTCGTTTTTTCCGTGTTTGATTTCCTGATTTTTTGCCCCAAAAAATTAACACTCGCTCGATTGAAAAAATCAAGATACACATGTTTAATGAAATGAACCGAATGTTTGAAACATGCCTGAGGCACTCAGAATTTCCTGCTCCATGACACGTTTTCCTGATAATATCGAATTTCCTGATTTTTAGCCTAAAAAATTGACCCTTGAATGATTACAACGTTAAGCTACAGACGTTTAATGAAGTGAGTCAGATGTTTGAAAAATGTCAGAGGCTCTCAGAATTTTCTGATCAATGACAAATTCTCCTGATTTGTCCTGACGACATATTTTCCTACGGTGGTTTCATCAAGTATAAAACTCACCGAACAACCTGCTCCCCTCTCTCCGATTCGTTTTCTCTTCGTAGCGGCACAACACTGAAATGCGAATATTAAATGAAAGGAATGGATGTTTAAAACTTGCTTAAAGCACTCAGAATTTCCTGATAATTCAGACGAGATATCTTGATTTTTCCAGTAAAAATTAACAATATGAAAAAAAATCGAGATAAAAGTATCTAGTAAAATGAGTCAATTGTTTGAAAAATGCTTGAAGCATTCGGAACTTCCAGATTAATGACAAGATTTATCTTCCCTGATGACATCAAATTTCCTGATATTCAAAACTATCTTTCCTGATTTCTCCCCAAAAAAATTGACACTTGTTTTGTTTTAAAAACAAAGATACAAATATTTAGTGAAATGAATCAAATCTTTGAACGGTGGTTGAAGTGTTCCGAAATTCCTGATCAATTACAGATTTTCCCGACATTTTCCAGTTTTTCCTGACAAGACGATAGACACCCTGTCTACTTAAAGGAGAAGATACAAACATTTAATGAAATTAATCAACAGTTCGAAAAATGCTTGATGCAGCATTTCCTGATATTTTCCGGTCCTTCCTAACAGAACGGTAGTCACACTGGAAAAAAAAACACAATAGATCTAGAGTCCAGATTCTTAAAAACATGGACATGAAAGAATACTCTTGATTCAATCAGATTAAAGCTTAAATCAAGAACCCAGCCTCTTAATTTGAGCGGATTTCCTTTAAATTTAAGCTTGGATCTGACTGAATCAAGAGTCCTTTTTCTTGTCAATGTTTTCAAGAGTCTGGACTCTAGATTCGATGTGTTTTTTTCCAGTGCTCATGGTTTGATCACTTCTTCCTCGCAGAAAAGCTCCTGGAAATCGGTCGCGGTCTCCCACGACACGTAGGACACGAGCGGTGCCTCTCGGCTCTCGCCGGGGAGCCGATGCGGGGGCTTCACTTACCTCGGGCCTCGGTCCTCGCCGCGGGCACCTGTTGACGGCTCGCGCGGTCAGCGGGGATCGATGCGGACGGCACGACGGCGGCGGGCAACGCGGACGGCGGGAAAAGCGCGACGGGACGAGACGATCGACGGGCAACACGCACCGCGGGTGAATGGGATTCCGAAACCGCCGCGCGACGCGACCAGCGCCATCTACCCCCGCCCCCCTCGACGCCCGAGTGCGGTTCCTTAATTCGAGACCCCCTCCCGCCCTTCGGTAGGGGGAGATTCGCGCCTGCCGCACAATGGATCCAGTCGATAGGAGAGGTCGGACCAAATTAGGAAACTGTGAATGCTTAAAACTCCGTTTAAACAAAAATTTGAGGTTTTAAAGGTGGTTCACTGGAAAAAAAAAACACGTTGGATCTAGAGTCCAGACTCTTGAAAACATTGACAAGAAAAAACATTCTTGATTCAATCGGATTTTTGCTTGAATCAAAACGAAATCTCCAAACGAATCTCCTCCAACGAAATGTTCACCTGTGCCGTGGTATTGTTTTGGAAGCGGGAAACTTAAAAATACGCAAATTTCTTGTGCAAACTCGTGATTTGTGAGAAATTTTCTCTGAGTGACAAACGGCTGCGGTGCAATGAGCAACAGATCTTGGCACCACGCTCGGATCTCGGTTAAAATCCAAGCCCAGCGCCACAGATTGTGGCGCCACACACCAGCAAAATCCTCAAATTTCCCTTAAGTCGAAAACCAGTTCATTGCTGGTGCAACCTGCCACAAAGTTCAGCTTATAGCTGGCTTTCCGCTCATCTTTGAATTTCATATGTTTAAAACCGCTTAAGTGCTGGTGCAACCTGCCACAAAGCTCAGCTTACAGCTGACTTTCCGCTCATCTTTGACTTTCGTAAAAAACGGTCCAACCAACTTTGATAAACTTTCGAGCGTGGCGCCACACACCAGCGCATGAAATAATCCGGGCCGAGCACCACAACTCACGATTGCCTATCGCCTGGATTACGGGCGCGCATCGGGTACACTGGAAAAAAACACATTGGATCTAGAGTCCAGGCTCTTGTAAACGTTGACAAGAAAAGGGACTCTTGATTCAATTGGATTTAAGCTTCAATTAAAAGGGAATCCGCTAAAATAAAATGGCTTGGTTCTTGATTTAAGCCTAAATCTGATTGAATCAAGAATATTCTTTCTTGTCGATGTTTTTAAGAGTCTGGACTCTAGATCCAATGTGTTCTTTTTTCCAGTGTGGGGGAAAAAAGACCCTTGGATCGTGAGTCCTGCAGGCTGATTAAAGAACTGGGTCAGTGGCGCTGGTGACAGAATCGTGTTTTGATACTGGATTCTTGAAGATTAGCTAAACATTTTTTTTTTTTTTTTTCCAGTGTAGCGTCTTAATTTTGCTCTGGCAAAAGTTTGCAACAGGCCCATTTAGGATGTGACGAAATGCAGATAAAAATTTGCAGTATTAGTCACAAATTTCATGTCCGAGCTTCCTCATCGACTCGATTCACTGTGCGGCGGGCGGATGCATCCGACGGGAAAGCGGCGCCGGGACCCGCGGCCCGCGAGGAAGCAAAGGGTCGGATCCTGGCGCGCGGATGAATGTGAAACGGACCGTTTAAAATAAAAATTGATTCCCGGGCAGTGAATTCATCACGGCCTGGATTCGGCCGAATCTCGCGGCCACTGAGAAAATAAGTGCTCGGCTCGAGTATGGAGATTCTAGAATAGCGCAGTACACCACTGGAAAAAAAAACTCATTGGATCTAGAGTCCGGTCTCTTGAAAACATTGACAAGAAAATGGACTCTTGATTCAGTCAGATTTAAGCTTAAATCAAAAGGAAATCAGCACTATGGAGAAAAAAACTCATTGGATCTAGAGTCCGGTCTCTTGAAAACATTGACAAGAAAATGGACTCTTGATTCAATCAGATTTAAGCTTAAATCAAAAGGAAATCCGCTCAAATTAGGAGGCTTGGTTCTTGATTTAAGCTTAAATCTGATTGAATCAAGAGTGTTTTTTCTTGCCGATGTTTTCGAGAGTCTGGACTTCAGATCCAATGTGTTCTTTTTTCCAATGAGGGGGAAAAAAGTCCCTTGGATCGTGAGTCCTGCAGGCTGATTAAAGAACTGGGTCAGTTGCGCTGGTGACAGAATCGTGTTATGATACTGGATTCTTGAAAATTAGCTGAACATATATCTAATAAGATCAATCGAAACGGAAACTTAATACGTCCAATAATGACCGAGGCATCGCCCTTTGAAAAGTCGGCTGCGCTACAGTTTCGCACAGGTACGGTTTCGCACAGAGCAAAATATTTTCTCAACGATTTTTGGCGGAGAAAAATAAATGGACGGATAACGATTGACTAGGCGAAAATTGGCGGACGGCCGACTTTTCTCAAATCCTGATTTTACGACCGATTTTTCCACAAATCCTGATGAAATCGGGAATAAATCCTGATTGACCTCAAATCCTGATAGAATCGGTAGAATCCTGATGCTAGACACTCTGAATAATGAAGTGAGCTGTAGATTACCCCCAGTCGTCCGACACTAATCCGTGAAAGAAAGGGGAAAATCGGAAGCTTCCTCTCAAGGCAGATGTAGTCCGAACTTTTCAGGTTCTTCCTGGTTTCTTTCTTCTTCAGGAACTTTCAGGTTCCACCCTTAAATTTAAGTGCCACAAATTACACCCAGCTGGTGTACTGGGATGAAACTGTCCGTTCGGAACCTCCTAGCTGTTACCATCCGTTATCGTGTAAAAAACGCAAATGCCCGGCCTAGGGCTGTATACCGAACCGCCTCATCGAGTGTCAGTGATCGATGTCAGTATCGGTTCGGTTCGGTCGGTTTCGATCGATTCACCGAATCACGAAGCTATCGCGATACATCGTACATACCGAACATACCGAGACTTACCGAAACATACCGAAACATTTTCGATTCATCGAATACCGAAGTTACCGCGATATATCGTACATACCGAAACTTACCGAACATACCGAAACTTATCGAACA